CGGGAAATTTTGGAATTTTTGCGGTTTTTTGCGTTGCTTGTTTTTTAAGTTAATGCGGTTTGAGAGCGGAAGACGAAGATGAGAGTGATGGGGAACTGAATATGAAGAAGAAGAATAAGGAGAAGCAGATGACAGATGACTGTTACATGTTTACGTTTTTTTTTTTTTTTTTTTTTTTTTAGGAATCTAGTGTTTTTCCTACTCACCCGTGTTTTCAAGTCCCTGTTCCGTCCTCTGAATGTAAATATGAATTTAAAGTAAAAGTGATCTTGAATATTTTCAAAGAATTCATAAATGTATTTTATTTGTCTTCTCACCGATCTTTATGCATAAGAATGATATCTTATGACAAAGTTTCGAAATTAACTTTGCAGTGAAGGGAATGATTTATCTGATGCAGCAGCTCATAACTGGGGAGGTATTTTTGCGTATTTGAGTCACTTATTAGTAAGTTTTCATAATTTTATTCATAATTTATCCTCTTCCATCATGAAAAATTAAAAACTCCGTCCTACGAAGTAAAACACAGACGCCTAAACTTTGCACCTGTATAGTTTTCCCGACAAAATGCACAAATACGGGTCTTCAGGTACGTTGTTCACCAAAAATAACATCAAAATTGAATTCTACGCGAAAAATTACATGAGATTAATGGTACAAAATCGATCAAATGGCCAGGAATATTCGTTATCCTCGTAACATTGGAAGCGCAACGCTCCATGACCGACCTCTCCCATTGACTCGATCCACCGTGCGACGGGTCACTCGACCTTAGTATTTAAAATGTTAAGAGATTTTCATTCTCTGATTTTGCCTAATTTTCAAGAAGAATTTTCTGGTAAGACCCGGGAATTCCTCTTGGTTTTCGCCAGATTCTATGGGAAAACACGGGATTTTACTCAAAAGTTTGGGAAATAGTCAATGTTTTCAGTTGCTCCCGGTACCCAGTTGCAAATTTGGTTGTTTTCACCCGCGCGGCCTTTGATTTTCTCGCTCCTTCCCCGAGTCAAATTTTCCGCCCTCATAACGACGTAGAAGCGAGTTGAATTATTTTCCACGACGGGTCACTCGACCTTAGTATTTAAAATGTTAAGAGATTTTCATTCTCTGATTTTGCCTAATTTTCAAGAAGAATTTCCTGGTAAGACCCGGGAATTCCTCTTGGTTTTCGCCAGATTCTATGGGAAAACACGGGATTTTACTCAAAAGTTTGGGGAATAGTCAATTTTTTTCATCTTTAGCCTAAATGTTAATAAATTTTCATTCTCTGATTTTGCCTAATTTTCAAGAGAGAATTTCCTGGTAAGGCCCGGGAATTTCTCTTAGTTTTCGCCGGATTCTACAAGAAAGCACGGGATTTTTCTCAAAAGTTTTTGGAATAGTCAATGTTTTCATCTTTAGCCTGATTCTTTGGAGCCAAATAAAGACGAATGACCAAGTATTTGCGTAATTTGATTTCGGAGCGGAAAGAGAAAATCCCACATTTCCACACCATTGCCTCGAAAATTTCCCTAATTTTCCCGATATTTTTCATTCCCTCATGAATCTCGGTACTCTCCGGTTTTCAGTTATTACTTGTTAGCCTTTCAGTTATTAGTTAGGAAAACGTCCAAACGTCCTTCGTTAATTCTGTAATTAAAAGTGGTTCAGGTGTAAAAAGGAGAGATTTAGCACGTCCTTTTTCATGCTATTTTAAATTTATCGCCTCGAACTTTTCGGCTGCTCACCGGACTGAAATTTTATGCGGTCAAACGAAAGCTCTAGGAAAATCGCACAGCAAGATGGGCGGTCAAAAAATCTGTTACAAAGAGGAATCTTTGATAAATTTGAGGACCACTTTTGGGCCCTAAGCCCTCCATGAGGAGATATGTCCATACTCTCGCTACATAGGTACTATAGTTTCCATCAGTAATAGAGATTGCTTTCCCTTATAAAATCGAAACGTCGTAGAGAATTGGCAACACCGCAAATCGAAGCACTTAATTTTCTAATTTCAAAATAGATGCGCTTCGTTTGAGAGCAACCTTACTTTTAATACCGATAGCACTCATCTTTCAATTATAGTCACTGATTGGCGAAAGTACCTAAGTAAAGACAAGTTTCATAAAAGTTACTGTACGTAAATTGAGTTTTCTAAATTGAAATGGAACGATCTAAGTCAACGGGGACACGACGCAGGTGTTTTTTAATCAAAGTACAAATCATTAAAATGCAGGAAATTAGGACAACCGACAAAGTTAAAAACTCTGCGCCAAAGACCGGCGGAAATAGAGGAAGTTGAGGGGTTCATTAATTATGTAATTACGCTACTAAAGTCCGACAGCTAAACAGATCAAAACTCAATTGAATTGAATGGATTCTTTTCCATTGCTGCAACATGAGAAAGGAACTTCCAATATTACAAGTTAATGAGGTAATTGATAATGGCGTTCACCTACGATATCATACGACGTTCTGAATAATTACCGAAATCTCTCTTTGCAAATTGAGGTGAGGTCGCCTTTCATTTACCATTATTAAAGTAATCTTCACAAAAGGCTTTAAGTGAATACTTCGCAGCAAAAACTGTTGTATGTGTTAAACAACTCATAAACTTTAAGAGATAAATAAGGACTCATTTAGGTATACACTTAATGAAATCCTCTCATACAATCTTTACAAATTTTCATGCAGTTAATTTTCTTGGAAGGAGCATTTTTACAAAAAAAATATCGCGTCCCTTTTCAAATTGTACGACGTCTCGTATTTTTTTTTTTTTTTT